GGTCTCCGTACATCGAAAAACACAGATTTGTGGAGGGCATGTCTGCGAGCATTTGACATGAGTCTGCCTTCAACTACATGCATCCATCAGGGAGAACGTGACACATGGACAGCAATCGACGGTGCGACCACACACTGCATTGACTATGTTGCTGTGCCTTCTACATGGTTATCTTCATGTACGTGGTCGCAGGTTCTTCATGATTTAGACCTTGCAACAAGCAGAGATGATCATCATGCAGTTGGTCTGGAACTCCGATGGCAAGAGTTGAGAGAATGCCGAACTCCTACAAGGTCCCAGCCAAGTGTTGAATGGTCTGCGGCTGAGATTCCTGATCGCATGCGGACGGCACTGGACTCGCTGATCATACCGGAATGGTCGACAGATATTGAACAACATGAGAAAAGCATCCGACAACAAGTCCAGTCTGCACTCCATGCAATTTCAACACAGAAGCGGAGCATGCCCAAAAAGCCATATCTCACAGATGACATTTGGGATGACCGCCGATGTTTGTTGCAATTTCGCAGAAAGCTCAAGCAAACCCGTGCCTTTTTGAGCAGAGAATGTTTAGCCAGCGTTTTCAAAGCCTGGAGCAGCAGAAGTAGTTCATTGACCGCCTTTGAGGAGTTTCAGTATGGCAGCACCTTGCGCACTGGCCTGCTCCACAACATGGCAGGGTATGTCTCATACAGAAAACGAGTTAGAACAAAGATCACTTTGGCCAAGCACAATCTGATGCAGCAACGTCTTTCGACAGTTAATGAGCACACGTCAGCCAGTGGTATTCTCCATCTTATGAGAGACTTCACTGGGCTGACCAACCCCAAAAAGGCCAAGCAGAAGACCATACCCATGATCTACAACAAGGACAATGTACTATGCCGTTCACCTACTGAAGCTTTGGAGGCTTGGATCACCTTCTTTGCCAGTATGGAAGGTGGACAAAGACAATCAAAAGCTGAACTACGAGAAGACTGGATTTCCTCAATGGTCGCAATGCAACCCACAGAGATCATGACTGATGTCCGACATATGCCGACTTTAGTAGACTTGGAGCTGGCCTTCAGGCGTGTGGCGTGCAACAAGGCGGTCGGGCCGGATGGAATCCCAGGAGAGGTGTGCCACTATGCTCCGACTAAATGTGCACGTGCCAACATTGCTATCTTGTGGAAGCTGCTTTTGCTGGGACAGGAGCCCCTCATGTACAAGGGAGGTCTTCTTGTACAAGCCTACAAAGGCAAAGGTGCAAAAACATCCTGTGCTTCTTTCAGGTCTTTGTTGATCTCCAGCCACTTTGGCAAATCCATCCATCGAGCGCTGCGATCCCAACAAGCAAGTGTGTTTGAAAAGTTTCTGCAAGCGCAACAGTTGGGAGGAAGAAGGGCTATGCCCGTCACATACGGGGTTCACTTAGCCCGGGCATATATGCGACAAGCCAAAGCAGGTGGACGTTCTTGTGCGATTGTGTTCCTCGATCTGAAGGAAGCCTTCTACCGCATCTTCAGACCCATATGCATGAAGGACTCTGTGACTGACGAGGATCTCGCCAAGCTGATGCACAAGCTGAACATGCCGGAGGATGCAGTCGACATGCTACGCGTTATTCTTGCGGGTCCCAGCGCTTTGGAACAGGCGGAACTGTCAGAAATGGAAAGCAGGTGCCTCAAAGCTGTCCATCGTCAAACACATTTCTGGATGAGACAACAGGAGGATGTAGTGCAGACGAAGTATGGCTCGCGGCCAGGAGATCCATTTGCCGATGTTGTCTTCAGTTATGTTTGGGCTGTGGTGCTTAGAAAACTACAGCATTTCATGCGTGACAACGGGCTCCTTAGCTCCTTCCCCCACTTGCCGCACCTGCAGTTCTTCTCCGATTCTTCACAGAACATTGATGGCAACGAGGAGTTCATAGGGCCAACATGGATGGATGATTTGGCCGTATGCATAGAAGCAGATACATCCGCTGAGGTTGTCCGCAAGACTGGCGTGATGACAGGTAAGCTTTTGGAGCTTTGCATCGAGCACTGCATGACTCCCAACCTGTGCAAGAACAAGACAGAAGCCCTTTTCTCCTTCAGAGGACCAGGCTCACGACGCTACAAGAAGCTCTTCTATGGACCTGATGCGTCAGGAAGTCTCGCTGTGGTGTCTGAGTACGGGATGCACCATGTACCGGTCACTACCAACTACAGTCATTTGGGAGGACTCCTTCATCACTCGACTGACCAGAAAGACGAGATCAAAAGACGCATTGGCATAGCCTGCGCGGCCTTCAATCACCACAGCAAGTTGATCTTCCGCAATTGGAGCTTGCCCTTAGCCAAGCGCACTCAGCTATTTGAATCTCTAGTTCTGAGTAAGCTTTTGTACGGGGCAGAAACATGGGTGGTGACGGAGAATGCCACGGTAGCGCTTTTCAATGCAGCTGTGATTAAGCTGTACCGCAGACTCCTTCGGGTGCAGCCTGATCAGCATTTGGCTGATGATGCCATCCTGTCCCAGGTTTGTCTGCCCAGTCCAATTGAGCTTGTCAGGAGAGCGAGGCTCAGATATGTTGCTACACTATTTCATTGCGGTGAACGCAGTGAATGGGGACTCCTGGCAAAGGACATGGCATGGACTTCGCTGGTGGAGGAGGACATGGTCTGGGTCTGGGACAACATTTGGCACAGCTCCACGATGCCGGACCCCCGCACCAATTGGAGTGCATGGAAGGAACTGATTGTCCATCACCGCTCATACTGGAGACGGCTTGTCCGTCGCGCGTGTGAGCATGCCATTGCCCAACGACGCAAAGTGTGGCTGACGCATCAGTTTTATGAGCAGATGACGATCATTCTTCGCAAGATCTACGACTACGAGCCGCATGACAACTGGAACCCCCCTCGGGACATACCCGTCTACGGATGTCTTCAATGCCAGAAGCAGTGCCGAAACAAAGCGGGTGAAGCAGCACACATGTTCCGGGCGCATCAGCACGTGGCCAAGCGCAGATTTCTGAGCGACTCCACCGCGTGTCCGTCCTGCCTCAAGGAATATCACACTATGCAAAAGCTCATGGCACACTTGTACTATGTCAACTCATGCCGTCAGACCTTGCTGAGTAGAAACTACGTTTGCCCACCAGGGCCAGGAGCAGGTTCGCAAGAAGACCAAGTACTATGTCGTGTACATGATCGCATGTTGCCACCGCTCCAGACGGAAGGACCTCAGCTTCCAGAGCCGAGAATGAGAGAGGAGACAGAAGTGGATAATGACCTCCACCTCTTCTTCATGGAAACCTTCTTAGACGCCAACGACCTGAATGAGGCAATGAGCGTCTTTGAACAAGAGGCTCAGCAGAGACCATTATCCTGGACTACGTGGACAAGCACTCTCCGCTACTTCATGGATAACCTGGAGGATGAGGATGTGCACAGATGGCAAACCACAGCGTTGCGAGCCCGCACAAAACTCGAAGGCTTGCTTCAGCCAGAGAAGTGGAATCTGTGCGCCGTAGCCACACATCAACATGAAAGTCTTTCTGACCTGGAGCAAGAAAGCAGAGACGTTGCGGGCACATCTTGGCCCCAGCGTACTCACATCCCGCCAGCGTTTGGGAAACACCGAGTGTTGCTCCACATGTTTTCGGGAAGACGCCGAGTGGGAGACGTGCAATTCTTTTTGGATCGCATGACCCCTCCGGACAACTATGTGCTCCACGTTGTCAGCATGGACGTGGTGGTTGACCGCGTTTGGGGGGACGCGATGGCTCCTGGTACAAGAGACTACTGGTTGAGGGCGGCCACCGACGGCTACATTGCAGCCTTTCTTGCAGGCCCGCCCTGCGAAACCTGGTCTAAAGCGAGAGGCCAACAACTCAAGCAGGCCCGCCACAGTCGAGGTCCTCGAATCCTGCGGACCGAGGACCACCTTTGGGGCTTGCCATGTCTGGCTTTGAAAGAGGTGCAACAGGTCATCACTGGCAATGAGCTGCTTACATTTACGCTACTCATGGCTGGGAAAGTGATCTGCACTGGTGGTTCAGGGGTGGTCGAACATCCCGCCGAACCGGAAGAACCACAGGCAGCTTCGATCTGGAAGCTGCCGGCAATGCTTGCTCTTCTTCAAGCACCAGGTGTCCAACGACATCGTCTATGCCAAGGACTCTTTGGTGCTCCTTCAGCGAAACCGACTGAGCTCCTCACGATCAACCTGCCCAGACTGCCGCTCCATCTTCAAGCATGGATGACGCGGTCTGAGAACCCGAGAGGACAGGCAATTGGTCTGACTGAGGACGGATTTTGGCGTACCGGATATCTCAAAGAATATCCGCCAGCTATGTGCGGAGCACTAGCCGATGCTTTCCGCACCAGACTAGATTCTATTGGTGCGACGACCGGGGTCGAACCATCCGAAGCTAACAAAGCTCTGTGGCGTTCACTTACTGTGACAGCGTACAGCAGCCACATGGGAGCTGATTATGCCGGATGAAGCTTCGGACCTTGGTGAATTCAAACAGAACCTTGCAAGGCCGCGGCGTGATGCAGCAGTGGGCCGAAGGGAAAAAAATATTAGAATGCATAATTTTGATCCATGGCCTTGTCTGAAGATGTTGGGAAAAAAGCGAGGGTTAAACCCTTTTTGGTTCCGAGGAGTCGAGAGTCACTAAAATGGGCTGTGTGTGAATTACGGCCTTGCCCGAATTCGGACGTCCACATGGTTCAGTGCCAAAAAGGATGTGTTGTACCATTAAACTGAAAATAGTGTACCCCTAAAATAGTGCATTTAACCTATGATGATGGTTGTGCCATTGTTGTATCTAGTACACTATTTTCACTATGATCATTTAATCATGTGTCTGAAAATGTTGTGTAAAACCCCTAAAGCCAATGGTTTTGCTGATCATTATCCCAATTATCCCGGAAATAAATGGCTATTTCATTGGGAATATACCCTATTTTCAGACAAACCCATGTGTTGTTGTTTCTGAAGGTGACCGTTGTTTCTGCCTGCAGGAATATTGAGCATGAAGACTATAGCTTACTTTTCAGCCTCATTGACCGCGACCAAAATGGCAGGAGATCTGTTTTTGCTTTGAGATCCAGGGCAGCCGAAAGTTGTTTCTGGTATTTTCTGGGTACTGACTGGTTTACTGGAGATTATGATCATACGGAATCATACGAAATGGGGACCCTGATTAACTGTCCCCAGTAGAGGGGGATGAAGAAACGCTATCTTTCCAGGTAGAGCGCAGTTGAATCAAGATGAATCAAGAAGGGGGGGACTCCAATTTCTTCCAATCGACTTCCTTTAGAAAAACGTAGAGAAACTGAGTTCACAAGTATGCATCAAATAAATAATCAACATATGTGGAACATATGCATTGTTTACGTTTGGGGTAATTAATGACTTGTACTATCATGACATCAACATATTTCACATCCCAAAAAGATAGAACAGCAAATCATCAACAGTAAATCCCTATTGAAATAGTTACATACTTGACTTTAATCCCTATTTTTCAATAGTGACATACTTTACTTTTCATATCTTTTCATTACTTTCCCATGTTTGTCCATCTTTTTCTTGGGTGATGATCTTTAACACATGCTTTTCGGTTGGTTGGTACTCCAGGATCACTGTCTTTGAGATCGCCCGCTGGCTGGAAGATATGAAGAGCGGTCGGGCTCTCGGACGGCGCGACCGAAAGGATTCATGTTGCATCAATGATCATCCAACGGAATTCCAGAGTCTAGAAGTTCTAGTATTCAAAGTTTATATTCATTATATTCATTATATTCATTATCATATTTTTTTAAATATATATATATATATATTCAAATTCATATTCATATTCAAAGCATTCCTCACACATCCTCGATTAAAAAACCCGAGGCATGACCGAGGTGGATGTGGCCAGTCTTTTGTACCAGCATTTCTGCCAGGCTGGGAGCTGCTGGTGTCGCCATTTTTCGCCGGCGATGAACATATGGATGTTGGTTCCTAAATATGGAGATATCATGAGGATATAGAAACCATCATCCATAATGATATGGATTAGAATATCTTGGTATTTCCAATATGTTGGTTCTACATTAATGTACGTAGCATGGTTTTTAAGCCATCCTAAGCCATGTTGGAAAATAGATGAAAATCGAATGCGGGGATTGGTCAGCCGCGAGGGGCTCTTATTTGGTGAACCCTGGATGATCCATGTGGATTTTGCATGGAAGAGCATGGAATAGCTGGGTTGATGGCCAGTCTGGAATATAGTCTGGAATATACCCGGCCTGGTAAACTGTTACATAACGAACTGGAAAGATCCACCATGCTATGAATGGGTAAATCATGGTAAATCCACTATTTCGACTGGGCCATGGCTTCAATAGCTTTCTATTAACGTTTACCAGAGGGTAGTCAGTCGGATATTTTTTCGGATAAATTGCTGATTCGATCTCCACCAGGACTTGGGGGGAAAAATTGTGTTGTGGTTTTAACAACCGCCCTGCGGCACGAGGCTTTGGTCTCACGAGTTGCTCCTTTTTAAAAAATGGTGTTCCGGATGCAGGATGTTTGGGTGCATAATGGATGATACCCTCTGGTAAACGTTTACAAAGCTATTGAAAAATGCCATAGCAATAGAAATAGTGGATTTTCCCATCAAAAATGGTGGATCTTTCCAGTTCGCTATGTTAAATTACCAGAGGGTACATGATGATACTGCTGGAATCTACTAGATATGGCCCAACCTTGGACTCTGGAGGCCAAGCCCTCAGTGGCTCGGGGCTCAGATGGGCGAAGGGGCGAAGGGGCTAAAGTGAGAACATGAGCAAGTGGAACATGTTTGGGTGACGGGACCACCGGGTTTAGAATGGTTTTTACCATCCAAATATATCATTATATCATAATATCATATTATATCCACACACATTGAATTTTCATGAATTTTCATATAGATCTTTGGGGTTTCCAGTAAATGATCTGCTACCTTTCAAAGGTGGAATCCCCAGAATCCCCAAAACACATTCTTGGGTCAGCGAAGTTGAAAACATGCGTTCAGGACAAAGAGGAGTTTGTCGCTTGGATCAGGGCCATCGGGTTGCCCCAACATGGAGGAGATGCGTCGCCTAGAGATGCACCGTTTCTTTGATAGCCTGTTTTTCAATGACTAGCATCTCTACACGCATAATCTTGGTGGATGGTGGAGAGCTACTTGCTGCACTAGAAGTTACTACTCACATTAATCATCTGGTTGGTGGTTTGGAACATGTTGCCGTCCAAAATCATCCCTGCTAGGGTCCATTTCAGGTGAGTTCACCAGAAAAAAATGATTCAACCATCAAGAAATATAGAAAGCCATAGAACACTCCAAACATCAAGCAATCCTTTTTGATCCCCTTGTTGCATCTTTTTGCTGATTTTCCAGAAGCTGTCCAGCTGTGCAGGAGCTTCGAGCCGGGCGCATGAGCACTGATCAGATAGCTTGTTTCAAAAATCCCAAAAAGGGTTGTGCCATGATCGCCTCTGGTAATTTCACAGTTCACAAGCTCGATCATGGTCCATTGACTTCGATGATGACCTATTAAAAGTGCTGATTTTCCATGTCGCTCTGTTGAAATTATCAGAGGCTTGTTGATTTGATATTGTCAGAGGGTAGGCTAGTTGAGTTGCTATTCGTGGGATGGGATGGGACTGTTTCAATGGTTCACCTGAATCGACTAGCCGTTTTTCACCGAGCTCGCACGTTGACGAAGCGTGGGAAGCAGTCCAAAGGCTGACGGTGCCCCGCGCGAGCGGCGAAAAAAAAACATGCGCGGCAGTTTTCCAGAATGCAGCAGTGGCTTCAAACACCACATTTGAAACATGGGTTTAAAAAAGAATATGTTGAGTTCTTTTTAGGGTCCCAAATTATCCTAAATTCATCTAAATTCATGTTTTGAGAATATGCATTGATTTATAATTAATTAATTAGAGTGATTAGATGTATTTTGTGAATTTTGTGTATTCTAACTCTTAGTAAGACCTTTATCAAACTGCCACAGCATCATTTCCATACATATTTTGTCTGCATATATATATATATATAAAATCTGTATATGTATATATATATATTGTGAATCTGCATCGTTGCACTTCAGCTTGACATGGTGTTCCCCCTGAAACTCCTATCCAGACCTGGGTTCCAATTAATGATGAAGGCATGTGCCATAGCGCATTGGCTCAGGGCAGCCCATACGGTGTGGGTGGGAGAGGATTGTTTTCGCTTGTTGCCATTGGTTTGGAACGAGGCTGTTCCTTGGAGCCGGGGGCTCATAGAATCCTGGTGGCCATTAGGCCAATTCAATCTTTGCCGCACTGGAGGCACCTGAGACTTTTGCAGGTGGTTGCCGAGAAAAGACTGCCGCTTTGAACCTGGAGGGTTTGAGAGTTTTGTCCTTGCTGCCAGCGTAGGTTCGGTGTTTTGACCAACCACACTGGTAGCGGAGCTCCGTTACCATAGCCGACGGAAGAATCCAGGGAGGTGAGATGCCCGAGACTTCTGATGGAGCGGAAAGCTCTTACACCACTGTCAACAATCAGTTAGCCAATCTGGTTCCCAGTTTCGACCCAAGCAAGGATGATCTGCAGGTATACCAACAGAAAGTTGCCCTTCTTTTGGAAGCATGGCCCTCTGGAAAGTATACGGAACTTGCAACGAGGTTAATCCTGAATTGTGCCGGATCAGCCTTCAAGAAGCTACAACTGCATCAGGCTGAGTTGATGGTCAACGATCGCAAGTCGATCCAACGGATCGTTGAGTTGCTTGGTGGCCATTGGGGCCAAATCCATTTGGAGCAAAAGTATGAGTTCGCAGAGCGAGCCCTTTACAAGTGCATGCAAAAGAGCGATGAAAGTGCTGATTCTTACTTGGCCAGGGCAGATATCATGCGGACTGAGCTGAATAGCAAAAAGTTCCAGTTGAGTGATTTGCAGGCGTATGTTACCTTGCGAGGTTCAATTCTTTCTGCAGAGGATAAGAAGAGAGTCCTCATTGATGCCGACGTCACTGACAAGGGCGAACTCACTGTTGCCCGGGTTGGTGCATCAATCCGAATGCTTGGTGCCGGGTTCTTCCAGGAGATGACATCTGGAAAAAGGGTTTCCAAACTGAAAACATATGATCAAACTGCGTTGATGGCTGATGACATTGACGAAACTGAACATGATCAGTATGCAATGACGGCCGATTCAATTGAAGAGGATGATCAGACAGTTGAAACCCTAGCCCAAGAAGGTGATGATGACGCATCATTGGTGATGGACTTTGAGGCCGCGGCCGCTGATCTCTTGCAGAATGACGAGGAACTTGCCTCGGCATTCACGGCATACACTGATGCCAGGCGGAGGCTCAACGAAAAGGTCAGGTCTCGTGGTTTCTGGCCGATCTCTCAGAAGGGAAAGTCCAAAGGAGGCTGGAAAGGTGTGAAAGGCAAGTTCACGAAGGGACATCCTTCGTCCCGCAAATCCCTGCAACAGCGGATTTTGGAGTCGCGGTGCCGTTTGTGCAATCAGGTTGGACATTGGAAGGCAGAATGCCCGACACGTCGTGACTCTGCAGGTGCAAGTTCGAGGCCACCGCAAGCTCCAACTACCTTTGCCCAGGTGATTCAGCCAACCGACATGAGTTCATCTGACGCCCTGCCGATGGAATTTCTGCATTTGCCTGAGCATTCAGAGATGACTCTAGATGTGTCTCAGCATAATCCAGAGGTGATTTTAATGGTTCAACATGTAGATAAGTCTGTGGAAGTTCCTAACCCGACTAAACTTAGACTCCAACAAACTCTTCGAACCTGGAAAGCACACCAGAATGATGACACCGCCGCTGCCAGGATTGATACCGATGACAGTGAAGTACGACTTCGTCTTCGAAGACGCTTGATGACCAGTCCAGAAAGCCTTAAGTGCGAACACCCTGAACCTGAGCCGACTTGTTTTGCATCCCATGGGAGTTTTGGCATTGTAGACTTGGGGGCTACTAAGACTGTAATAGGCAGTAAGTTGGTCCCCGAATTACTCAATAGCTTGGACCCCAGCATTCGCAGTCAGGTGACAAGGTGCCCATGTTCTGTCACTTTCAGATTTGGTAACCATGGAATCTTGCAGAGCCAACAAGCCCTGGTAGTGCCAATTTCAGGTCTGCTGCTCAAAGTTGCAGTAGTGCCTGGATCAACTCCGTTTCTGTTGTCGAACACCTTGCTGAGAGCTCTCGGAGCTACCATCGACACTGCTCATCACACTTTGCATGCCACCAAGCTTAGAAAGAGTTTCCAGTTGAATCTGACCAGCAAGGGGTTATTCCTCCTAGATTTAAACGATCTGGCGCAACCGGTCCAGACAGCTGAAAATTTTTCCAAGCCGACCGAAACACATGCGACCGTGTGTGATTCGGAAGAACAACCAGCCATCGTGTCCAAAACCCCTGCAGTCACCACCGCATGGTCCACGTCATTTCCAAACATGTCCCATGAACACACAGCCGATCAAACACATCAGGTCACCAACACACAAGATGAAACATTCCATACCCATGATGAACATGTCAATACACGGATGGAAAAGAGTGAAAACCATGAACATCAGTTGAGCGACCAGAGCTCTCTCAGGTCCAAACTCGTGCCACAAAGCCATCAGGTGATCCGACGGAAACGCAATGGCAATGTCGACCCTATCCAAGAGGCTCCAGAAGGTGCAACAGCCACAGCCGGATCCCGAATACGACTTCAGCCACATGTCGATGGACCAGCTGGAGGTCATGAAAATCCAATTCGGCCGTACCCATGTGGGGAAAACGTTCAATCACATGTGGTGCCGGGAGCAGAAATGGGTCCTGTGGTTCACCCAGCACTATCACCAGAGCACCAAGTGGGAACACCGAGTGTTCATCTACTACGTGGAGAAGAAGGTCGAGAGGAGCGAATTGACTGGAGTGAAAGTGCCGATCCGAAGTGCCACCGACCAAGCCACCGAGAAGGAGCATGGGCCACCGGCACAGCTTCAAGGAGCACAGCCGAAGGCCAAAGCCATGGCAATGGCATCAGGGACGACAGAGGTCCTGGCCAGTCCGTGGGACTTGGACGACGATCCCGAGTTGTTCGATGTCCTGCAAGAAGGCGAACTGATGCCACAGATCGAGTCGATGATCCCCAACCAGACAGTGAGCCAACTGGAGAATCGGATGGTGACTGTGGAAAATGCCCTGAACCGGATCATCAACTACATCGAGCAGAACACCACGACGCTGATCAGCGAGCAGTGAGTCCGGTTGAAGATCCTAGCATTTCAAAAGCCCTGTTAGCAGGTGATCTCAGTGATGATTGCAATTATCCTTCAAACTCCAATTTCACGCCTGAAAGCAATCGTGAAAGAGTCCATTTTCAAAATTTGATCCAACAATACTCCAAAGAACTTCAAACAATTGTTCAACATCACCAACATAACAGGGAGCCGAGATTGGATCTGCTGGAAGTGTTTTGCGGACCTCAGAGTCAGCTGACATCTCAAGCCCAGAAGCTTGGATACAGGGCTGAACGCTTTGGCATGTTGCAGGGAGACTTGCAAACACTTCAAGGCCGTGACAGCTTGTTTCATTTGCTTGTTGAACGCAAGCCCAAACAGGTGTGGTTTTCGCCTACTTGTGGGCCATGGAGTGGTTTCTCATGTCTCAACGGCAGCCGATCTCTGGAATCTTGGGATGCCTTGCAGCAAGACAGGATGAAGCATTTGGGACAACTGGCCCTAGGGATTGTGATCCTTCGGTTTCAACGACAGCATTCAAATCACATGCATTGGGAACAACCACGTGGATCACTGATGTTGAAGGTTCCATACATGCAAGAGGTTCGATACTATATGCTGCCGGTTGATGTTGACCTCTGTGTTGCCGGAAACCTTAAGGACCCAAACAATGGTTTACCCATCAAGAAGTCTTTAACCATTATGACCACTTCGGAATACATGGTGAAGTCACTGCATGGTCTGAGATGTCCTGGGAACCACCAACACCAAACCATAGAGGGCCAAGTAGTTGTGGAAGGGCAAAAGATCAATCGATCCACCTTCACCGAAAACTATCCACGAAAGTTTGCCAGAAAGCTAGCTTTCATCCTGGGCCGGGTGCAGAAGCCATCCGAAGTGCCATACCGCAACGAAGTTTGGTCGATACTTGCTGCGGAAGAAGAACATCCTGAATCACCAAGCCCCAAGCGTCCGAAGCTGCAACGATACGCTTCTGCCAAGCTCAGCCGCACTCGAGAGGTCACCCAATTGCCCTGGGGCAAGAGGCAGAAATGCAGTGTCAAGACCAAACCCCTAGATGCTAAAGCCTCCTGGAAAGCCATTTTTGATCAGGTACATAAAATCTTGCCAAGAGTAGGAAGACGCGGCGTGGACCAAACCGAAATCGTGCAGTCCATTCAAGCCTTAATTCCTGAAAAAGAAATCATGTCCATTGTAGCCTGTCGAGGAGCCAGTCGTACCCTAGCACCACCAGAGCACATCCTGA